AATAAAAAAATACATACAACCCATGCCAAAAATAACACAGCACTGCACATCCGCAGACACTTCTGGAACAGTTATCTCCAGCGGAAATTCCAGGCAGCTATTTCTGCTGCAGCTTTCCAACAGCCCTCCACTGTAACAGCAATCAAACATTTTTCATTTCTTATAGTACAGAAGAGATATTACAGTGAATGATGTTGCTGATGTGCAACACCAGTGAATTTTATCCAGCTGAGGCATTAGGGCTGACTGCCAGCCAAATACATTTCTTAAATTAAAATCCCTTTAGATAAGTGCAATCTTTAAGCATATTGTTTAATATTAAGCAATATATCAAAATGGATGTTGAACACAGCGCATCTCATCCTGCACTGTACTGCTTGACTTCTCCCTTTTAAAGCTCACTTACACAGGATGTCAAGCACTATCTGACCACTGAGAACAAAAGAAAATAAAACAAATCCACACTTCAAACACTCTCCTCTTTTAGCATCATGCATTACAAACATTATTTCTATGGATCCAGAGATACAAGTAATGTATTTAAGATATCAGATGCAAATAAAATTATTTGTGAAAAACAAAATATTCCTTTTCCTTCATCCTGAGGTAAAGGTTTGATGCTGTGGTCTTATTAAACAGTAGAACACTAATTGTAAGAACAAGGCAATATTATTTCTATAGTACTTCCCCTTAATAATCCTAAAAAATGCAATTAGCCACTAACATTAGCCACTGGGGATTGATATAAATACATATTTTTCTGTAAAATTACAAGCTTCATTCTAAAGGCAACACTTAACTCCTTAAGATATGCTATGTGCCTTCACTGCCATCTGCTAGCCACTTCCCAACGATCGCATCTGCACCAGCTGCAGCTGGCAGCTGGCCTCAGCAGCAGGACCCCACTTCTGACACTGCTGAGCCACATCCACAGATTGGAGGAGAATCCCTGCCTGCATTCCTGCTCAAGATTGATATGCACTTACCACCAGAGTAACTCACAGTAAGCACAACTGCTACAGCCTTTCCTTCCAGAAAGCAGACAGAAGAATAGTTCACTTAAAAAAAAAAAAAAAAAAAAAATCACATAAAAATCAGATGCTGACAGAAATGGCATTAGAAGATTGAATGATTTCAAGGTACTTCAAAGAACTGGAGTGGGTTGGGGAAAAAAAAAAAAAGCACAAACAGTTCACTATAGGAAGAAACTAATCCACCTTAAAAGAAACAAGTCTCTTAAATGAGATACTTCCAGCTGTTTCAAGAAATAAATTGCAGCTGCGAAACAGAGAAAAGCAGATTACTCTCACTCATGGACTGATATGTCTCGGGATATGGCTTCAAGCTTTTTCCAATATTTCACAGGACTTTTTGGCAATAACAATATTTACTGCTACTTGGAGGTCTCCTAAAGGACCTAATGCTTGACAAACGCATAAGCTGGTCATTTGTTACGCTCATTTTAAGAAATAATGCAATAGATTATTCAATAGTCACCTAAAATTCTCTGAAAAAGTCTGAATTCCAGCAGCAGAACCATACTGAGTCATGGCAGAGAACCACTCAGAGATGCAATGTTAGACTAAAGTGGCAGAGAGCAGATTCTAAAGGAGAGGTTTTAAGAAAAATAAATAAATAAATACAAAGAATACATCTGCCCCAAGTATGCCTATATCTGATTGACAGTCCAACACTCAAGGATACCCACACCAAAAATCTCCTACTGGAACTTCAGATTTGGTGGCTCTTATTAGGCTCCACTTCCTTATCTTTCTCACGTATGTTTACATGTTTTTCCTACCCCTCCAAAAAGGGATGCCGAAAATTTCTTCCTATATCTTTTATCCTTATCTGTGTCATTTTCATCTCTAAATTCTCTGTACAGACTACAGCAGTAAATAAAGTTCATATTTTCAGATAATTGCATACTACGGTTTTATAAGAACATTTTCTACATTTTTTCCTAAATTTAGGCTAATTTGCATTTTTTACTAAATTTAAACTGAATTGTCAATAATGACTAAGTATTTTTTTCTAGATATGATACAACTCACTGTATTCTAAGTTACCTCGTAAAACTATTCAAATAATTCCATCTAATGGGCACTATTTTTTATTTTTTAAAAATAAAAGTCACTTGCTTTTGTACTATCCACTCTGAAATTGTTCTGCCTCTTCTGGTCTTAGCTAACAACCACATTACACCAGCTTAATTATTTTTAGATGATGCCTGACTTACACCATTCCTTTGCAGGATCCAACTGTCGATATTTCACCATAATGAGGTTTTTAGTTTGTTTTTAACTTCTCCTCTTTGGCTAATAGACTCATAGAATGACTTAAGTTGGAAGGGACCTTAAAGGTAATCTCATGTGTAGTTCCAACCCCCTGCCATGGACAGGGTTGCCAACAACTAAATCAGCCTGCCCAGCGCCCCATCCAGCCTGGCCTTGAATGCATCCAGAGACAAAGCATCCATATCCTATTAATAATCCGTGAGCACTCCATCTCCTTTCATGCCTATTTCATTACTTGATAAGGTCTTAGTGAAGAATGGATGCTTTAGATAAAAAAGAACTAACACGCCTTTTCCTCTCAGCAAGTCTTCAGCATGAATCCAGTAGCCATGTTTCAGTTTACTGCCACTGAACCAAACACTGGAAGAGTACAGCAATAACATTAACTCTGGTCCAATTGATCTTGCAGGCCTACTGAGAGGATTTTAAGCTTATAAATAAGAAACACTTCTCTCCCTCTGCTGGATGTGAAATAGCAGAGAATTCTCTTCTTAATGGTCTCTTAGCCTCCAGCATGCAGGACTTAAGAGCAATAACCAAGACAAACCATTTTCATGAATAAAGATGCTGAACAGACTCTACCACCATCTCTCTGAGATACTCTGCTGGCAGGAGCTAGCCTGGCTCTGCTGAAGTGTGTCTAAACACCCTGATTATTACATAGGGAGGAATGGTCAGCTGGAAAGAAGAAAAGAAAAGAAAAAAGACAAACAGGAAAATGTAGCATTACGCTGCTCAATCTGCAAAACAGTATCTGCATGCAAAGCCACCTCAGGCAGTAGCTTGTCCCATGTGGGCACATCACTTGTTTTTTATGCGGTTTGGCAGACTAGTCACAAAACCAACTGGAAAAGAAACGGCACATACTTTGAAAGCCAGTTAAGAGAGAGGAGAGATGTAAGGAATAAGGCAAAGATGTGATCAGAGCAGTAGTTGGACTTGAAATAACCTGCACTGTATTTCTTTCACACTAATGTACGAATAAGAAGAGAAGTGCCTCCTTGCTCTTGGTTTCAAACCTTGTGGATCTAGCTCTGTTTAACAACAGAATCCTGTAGATGGATACAAGAGAAGCTGGAGAGCAGGGTCACACCTTTCCTTACACACACAGCCATACACATACATAGTATGCTCCCAAACTTAGAGAAAGGATATGTGGGTGCTATGCTTCAACAACTGAGATATACGCATGTGCAGTGGAAAAAGGGGAATGGCCACCACACCAGAACATGTCCCAGCAGATTTTGTCTGTCCTACAGTCAGTAAGCAGAAGCCTTAGATTAGATAAGAACATTTGCTTGTCACAGAGCTCGCGGCTTGACTCTTACCAAATACATGCAAGTATTAACAAAGCTGAATGAAAAATCTTGTAAATAGAAGATGAATGACAGAAATAGGAGATCCAGAACAGACCAGAAAATATCAGCCAAATACAATGTTCTTAAGAAGAAAGCAACCTAGAAGTGTTTAATGTACTTTACCAGCTGTATTGCCTTCCTGAGTTAACTAGAAGCAGCCAGGAAAACTAATTCAGAACTGTACTTAGTTTCTTTGTAATAACCTTCCCTCTTAAATTTCTTTGACTGATTAAGCAGATAAAAATAAACATAAACCAACACAAAATAAGCCACAATTGGCTGTGCGCAGGTAGTGTGGAAAAGTTCTGAGACTCAGGAGGGAAGAGGCTACTTCCAACTACAGAACAGTCAGAAACAGCAAGCTGCAAAGTTACTCCCTGCTTCAAAACACAGAATAATTGTGTTGCAGAAAATAAATCATGCAGCAGCAGTTGCCACTATAGAGGAACAACTGTTCCTTCAAATGATATAACAAAAGAAAAAGGGTCAAAGAATTGTTTTCCTTTGAGAAGAGAGAACCCACTTTTGGAGGCTGAGCACAAGCTACTTAAAATACCCCCTGACTGATGGCAGAACCCCAAACAATCTATTCAGTAGTCAGCTCTAAATATGGAATGCGCTGCCCTTGCTCGAGTTCTGCTCACATGTTTACCTATCAGAAACAATCCATACACTTGCTGAAGACCCAAAACACGTTGGAGAGCAAACTTCTGTTATCAAGGTCTCAGATTTCCACACAGTCATCTGGCAGATGTTTCAGAAAGGAACTCCGGTTCTTCCATTAAGCAACCATTGCATATAACCACATTGCAGAATGCACCGGTCAGGTGAACCAGCTGCCTGAACAGCACCCTGCTGCTTATGTGATCACTCTACAAACCGAAAACGTCTAAATGCTATGTGAACGCCTGTCTACACGCATCCTGGGCAGCACTTACCGCTGCAGCTCTCACCTCTGGAACACACAACGAAGATGAGCAGCAAGGAAAATGGCTCAGGAACTCACAGACGCTCCTGGCTGCCTCTTCCACACAAACACACCGACCACACGTTAATGCGGCACTGCAGAGCATCACGCTTAAGAAACCCAGCAGTTTCTCGCCCTCCGCAGCTGCCACGCGAGTCCCTCCCTCAGACGCGGAGGAGCTGCGGGCCCGCGGTGCAGCGCGGCGCCCGGAGCCCCGGCGGCACGCCCCAGCGAGCCGAGGCCGGGCCGGGTCTCCCGGCGGAGCGCGGGCCCACGCCGCGTCCCCGCCGCGCCTCGGTTCGGTTCCTCCTCCGCCGGCACCGGGGCCCAGAGCCCCGCGCTGCCCCGCCCGCTCCCGCTCCCCGCCGGCCGCCTCACCGATGAGGACGCGCAGATGCTTGAGGCGGGTGAGCGGGTCCTTGCGGGTGTCCAGCACCTTCTGCGTGGATTTCCGCACATCCCCGTGCGGCTTCTTGGAGAACATCCCGCCGGGCCCGGCCCCGGCGCCGCGCTCCAGAGGCGGGCAGCGGCCTCCGGATCCGCCCGCACCGGGGCCCTACATAGCCGGCGGCGGCGCCGCCTCCTCCTCCTGCTGCCTCCGGCTGCGGCGGGGCGGAGCGCGGCGGGGCGGGGGGGGGAGGCGCAGCGCCAACTCCCCGCAGGCCCGGGGGCGGCCCGGGCCCGGACTCCCCCCTTCCTCCTTCCCTCGTTCTCCTCCCGCTGCTTCGCGACAGCCGTCAGGTGCGACCCCAGGCGTCGCTATGGCAACCGCGCCGTGACGTCACGGCGGCGCTGCCCGGCGCACCTCCGGGGCGCGGCGGGCGGAGGCCGCGGCTGTGTGGAAAACGCGGGGGCGCGGCCTGCCGGGGCTTCGGGCAGGGGGCGCCAGGCGGGGAGCAGGGGGCGCAGAGCGGGAAGCCAGCGGCAGCGACTGGGGCAGGGCCGCGCTCTTCAGCTGTTTCAGAGTGCAGTATGAAGTTCGGGTGCTGCCGACTGTATTATAGCAAGAAACTGAAATGGTGCACGAGAGGAATCCCGCAGAGGACGCAGAAATAAAATCCAGGCCGGAACCACGTTGGTGGAGGCCGTGGCTCCAAAGCTTTTAACCAAGCTCCGGTTGAGCAACAGTCGGCGATCAGCGAGCGCCTCACGGTTATTTCCACACCCGCGCTCGGAGTGCTGCAATGCCTCGCCCGGCCCTGCCCGCGTTCCTGGCAGCACGAGGACACCCGCAGCGAGCCAGCAGCATCCGGCGCGACGCCCCGCACTGCGGCCCCGGCTTCGGCACTGCGCTCCTCGGGACACGTGGACACACATTTGCTGGTCCTGGAGCAAAGCGAGACGCGGACTCGCACGGGTCACGGTGCGGCCAGCAAGCAGCCAGCGCTATGTGCTGTGTGCCACGTGAGCGCTGCTGCTAAGGGCCGAACTCACACTGCTAGAGAACACCGAAGGTTTTCCTAAAATCCCGATGCTGGTTTACAGTCATCGAATATATAAAACAACCAATTATCGGATTTTTCAATAGAACTATGTTGCTTTATTTAACACGTGGTTTCTAGTGGCCCTCTGCTCTTTTTTTTTTCCTAATATAAGGAATACTATTTGCTATACTATTCAGTATTATTTAATAACTATTTGAGACATTATAAAGTCATTAGAGTTGGCAACAGTTTGAACAATAGATGTGCTACTGGAATAAAATAAGCATTTAAATGCATGACTGACCCATCAGTGACTGTCGCGAGCAGTGGGTTTCAGTCAACATTCAGGTGTCATCTGCCAATGCGGTGTGCCACAAATCATTTCATGGTTCCATCATCCAGTGAAATGAGATCTGAGGATTAGTGGTGTTATCTAACAGCTACAATTACAACAATTTATTTTACCATAGCAGTGAATTTACCTCTGAAAGACTTGATAACTCTAAATTTAGCGCTTTGTTCTCTACATGTTATCAGTTCTGAACATAAGGTTGTATCTTGACAACCTTCAATAACACCTTTGCTTTATAGAATTTACTTACTTCCCCAGTAATTTTTTTTGGACTTCGACTCAAGATAGAGCTTAAAAATAATGAACAGAATAAGATGTCACCAAAGTAGAAAGGAGGGAGTGGTTTTAACCAAGTTAATAATGGCTTTACAGAGAACCTCCTCACTGAAAACACACTGGGCAGGAAGAGCGTGTTCAGTGCACAGTGAAGGCCATGATCTTGCAAAAGCTTGACTCTGAAGCATGTGACTTCAGTGACTTTCATTATGTGTGGAGGACAAAGTTAGAAAATACCAGGATTAGTTATGGGGAGGGGTTAGGTTGTACTACATTCCAAGTGCCATGTAGTGCTTGTGCTTCAGTATTTCTGTAAAACTGTGCACAGAACTACTGTGAACTATCCTGAATTAACAATTTTTAGTTAACTTGACCTGCAACTATTTACTTTGAGAAAAAAGACTTCCAAATCTAAATAATTCAAGTTTGGCTTCTGTACTTCTGAACAATTCTTAACTCTGGAGGTGCTGGCTATGTTGATCTCAGCAAATATCAGGATCCTGTGAAACACTTCCAGTATGAGAACAATGGTAGCATTAGCTATTCCAGCCATGTCTTGTTGATCAAAAAAAAAAAAAAAACAACCCACAGCTTCTCATTCCCACATTATCTTGCAGATAAAAATCTCAATACTATATTCTTTTGTAATTGAGAGAAAGACCTCTTTGCAAGCTTTTAAGTGACCAATTCTTGCTTTATCACCTTATTTGTTAAGAAGGGTGTCAGTATTAATACTTGTGTGTGGGCATCTGTTACAAAGCCAAAACACCGTGGTATTTCCACTCACCAAAGATCCCAAGCTGGAATAGTTTTCCCATGAGCTACAGAATTAATGAAGACAGGTCTCCTATGAATTTGCACACTCAGACACTAAATGCCTTCCTCACCTCCTTCCACAGCCATGAACCTTCCTTTACTTAGCCCTTCCCTACTTATTTGAGATGGACAAGAGTCCTGACTGTAGATAAGACTCAGCTACACATGTGAAGTTTGGAGAGCTCACCACTGACTCTTTGGAAAGGTAAAAGTCAAGTTCCACGAAGTGCTCCATAGAATATTAACAGGGGCTCTTTGTTCCAGATACTGTTTCACAAAACTCACAGAAACTAGACAGCTTTAATGCTTCTACTCTGGGGTACAATTTGATCTAAATCATACAATGCCTTCAAAAGTAGTAGAGAGACACTCCAAGAAAAAAAAAAATCCTAGTAGATTACCAAAACAAAGCTTAATTGAAGACTATGCTAGCCATGCTTGAACAACAGATATATGAGCTATCATGGTCAGAAACTTTTATACACCTGAAAGTTAATTTTAACAGATAGACCATTACCAGTTCCCACCCAGTAGATGCAAAACTTCAGTCTTTCACTGCAATAAGTCACCTCCAACTCACAATGTTTGAATTCTTAGGTAAACACTGGCATCCATATCTGATATGAAAGAGGTTTTGAAATATTAATGTACTGATACAGTGGCAGTTACAACAGCTTAAAAAAAAAAGAAAAAACTGAAAATGTTCAAAACACTCTCTCAACACTAAGATGTTCTCTTTTTTTTCCCAACTTATGAAATGGTTTTGCAATATTGACATACCACAAAAGAATTTAAAGAAGAGAAAAACCCTGCAGAAACTCTGCATGCATTCCAAGCTCTACAAGGAACCAGTTTAGCACTGTTTCCTTTTTATCAAAGAAAATGATTTGCCCCGGCTCTCTCCCCGTATGTCACCTGCAGGAGTAAGCAAGGTCTTCTAGATATAAGTCATACCTCCTTGAGTTTATTTGCATTAGTGTTTTCAAGATAACTTCAGATCACTTGCAGTATATACCAGAATCTCTCCTGGATAATAGGTTAGTGGAGGGAGGAACATGTTCCAATAGCCTTCCAACACATCTTGCACACTGTGAAGGTTGCTACTTCAATTTACGGCTGACCTTGTCGTGTAAGGAAAATAGTCTTTTCCATGTTTGTGAGACTCCCCCCTTCCCTAATACTGGCTTTTGAAATGGAGTGTGAAGAATCAGACTTAATTTGCTAGAGCATCCAATGTATCATTTCCTTCCAAAAATGAATAAAATTCTTTCAAATGACCTGATTTAGTTTGCCAGAGTTCACAAACACTCCAGTGCTACCACTTCTTTCTTAACCCTAACTACTGGTGAGGAGCAGAACTAACAAAAACTTTACATACACTACCTGATAAACATATCTCGGGATTCTACTTTCATTGTTAACAACAAATAACAATAGGTCTGCTAATATGCTGGTCTGTTGTCCTGTTTGGAGGGGACAATCAATCAATCTTGCCATGGTCAGTGCTGGACAAACTACTTCCTTAACTGGATGAATGGCTCCTAACAAAGTGTTCCAAATCCATTAGGAGATAGAGCACTGTATTGAATCACACACAATAAAAAGCAAGGACAAAAAGTTTATTTTGAGTGTTCAACCTATACTTGCTCTGCTGACTCGCATTCCACATCTCTATCTTCTCTCTTCACTATCTGCTTACAAACTAGCATGCATCTCTTCCATTTTCAAATGCAGAAAAAAATGACTTACCTGAAACCTGGTATTGTGCAGGTTTCAAACACCCCTGCCTTTCTCCTGAGTTACAGCTACTGTGGTTCCAGTTTCTGAAGAGTGTAGAAAAAGGAAAACTGACACATATAGCCATTTTTTAATTTGCATTCACCAGGCCACTTCTCCGATGAGATTTTGTAATGCATTTCTTAACATGCAGGCCTATTCTCCATTTACTCTGCACATCGAGAGCTGGCAGTCAGTTTGGTGACTAGGAAGATAACAACTGCTTTTTAGATTCTAGACACATTTCCAGTCACTATCTCCAGTCAACAAATAAGATGCAAAATTACAGGTCTGCTTCCCAGCCTTTTCCTGAAGATGCATGGTCTAATAGCCACCAAGACTGTGCCAGGTTCAATTTTTCTCTGTGCTTCACAGATTATACTCAATAGCCAGACTCCTATTTCTATCTTAATAATGGCCCAGATTAAGTCCTATGAATCTGATGCCTGCATTTCCAAGCTTTTCCTGTCTGTGTGTGAGTTCCTGATCTAAAATTCTCTCTTTACCATCTGTTGAGGTCTATGCTGATCACTGTTTCATTTATAACTACTCTTCTCCTGTACTGACTTTTTTCTGTACCACCTTTTAGGAGAACTGCCATTTTTTAAACTTAGGTTATTGCCAGCTATCCCCACTAATGGAGTGCTTTCTTTTGATTGTTCACAAGTACCACATACCAGATGTTAATCACTATTTCCCCATTAAACGCAGAACTGAACTATTGAGAATGACGAGGATCACCTTTTTAATGGCTGTTTTCTGCTGATAGGCAAAACTCAATCCAGAAAAAAATTCAGCACTTTGCAGGCACTCGATGCTTCCTTTCATTTATCTCAATAAAATGGCTGATCTACAGACTGATCCTTCAGTTGCTGAATTCCTAAAAGGCATCTTCACACAGCAAGAACACGTTTCTGAAAATTATCTCACAAGTCAGACAGAATTTCTTCTTTCCCTCTCCACCTAGCACACGTCTGGGCTATAGACAGATGATTGAGTTAGGTGTTGCCATTTCTCACTTTGCAGGTGTTTGGGTGATTAGATTGATTATTTCTGTAAACAAATTATCTGTGCTCTGTGTCAAAACATAACTCCTGGAATTAGCCTGACTTCTTCTTTGGTCCAGCATCCCACCTGGACAGAGAGACTGACTACAGCTGGTACATTTTTTTCCTTCAAGACAGTAAATGTTTGTATTGCTTTAGCAGGGTAACTCCCTTCTGGCTTCAAAGCAAAAAACATAGTAGAGGAAACATGTAAAAATCACATATTTTAAAATAACATTAAAAAAAAAACTGGCTCAATTCTGCATCTGAGTTTTCATTTCCACTGTGGCATGGGAACCTTGTTTTGCTCCTTGAATTTATTTTTAGCCCCTTAGACCTAGTTCCAACTGCTTGCATAGGAAATTACAGTCACGGGGCCAAAAGTTCCCTGATTTCCTGCCATTCCATTCCCTGCTGTTTCCAGTAGGCCTTTCCAGGCCATAACACTTGCTTTCCTGTTTTACCTTGCTAGACGGAGATGTAAGCCTCAAGACTTTTTTATTACTTCATTTCTGGTTTCTTTTTACTAAATCCACATGGATTCATTACAAGGCATTTCAGACCCAGTTTGTGAAACTCACCCCTTTTCTATTGGGTACACGCCCAACTCTCATCAGACCACTCCCAACTTCATTTCAACCATCCCAATACCTGACACCCCCACCAAAGCACTCTGGGCACGTCAGCTGAAAAGAACACTATCTTCCAGTTCCTTTGGGAACTGCCTCTACCTTTTTATATTGCATCAGCTTTTGGGTCAGCTTCTGGGATCCCGAAAGCTGTTTCGAAACAAGAGAAGCCCGAGAGCGCTACCTCACACCAACCAACAGCAGCCATAAAGGCGCCAAGCCCGGCACTCACACCGGGCCGCGCCACCCCCGGCACGGAGCATGCGCGTGCCCGGAGCATGCGCAGACAGAGCGGCCGCTCCACGCGGGCTCACGGGGCGCGGCGCCCGGGGGAAGCGGGAACGAGGGTCGTCCTCAGCGGCTACAGCAGCCTCGCGCTGCCGAGCTGAATCCGTATCTCAATACGAAGAGTTGCTTCAGCCGGGCAGACAGAGCCCTCGCTTCCCAAAAGGAAACAACAGCCCGCACTGCTGCTCTTTTCCCCGGCTCAAACCTCAGAACCAGCCCGCGTTACACACGCTTCCTCTGAAGCCCCAGCGCCTATAGGCCGGGCCCGCCTGCAAGAAACGCAGAGCCCTCCCGGCTACCGCAGCGTCCTTCGTGCGAGGACGGAACGGCACGCAGCCCTCCTGCCGCACACCCCAGCTCCCTCGCTAGCGGTGGACAACTCCCAGCGTGCCCCGCGCTCCTTCTCGCTGTACCTGCCGGCTGGGCCAATGGGGGGGCTCAGCCAATGAGAGGGCTCGGCCAATGAGAGGGCTCGGCCAATGACAGAGTTCGGCCAATGGGAGGGCACGGCGGGCGCTGGGCGGGGTTGGTTGCACCGCGGGGCGGGGCAGCGCGGCGCGGCTGGCGGCGGTGGCGGCGGGAAGGGCCGTTCTAGGGCTGTCCCGGGGCTCTGCGGCGGGCAGGATGCCGGTCCACTCCCGGGAGAAGAAGGAGAACAACCACGATGAGATGGAGGTGGACTACGGGGAGAACGAGGGGAGCACCTCGGAGGAGGAGGAGACCGAGAGCTCGTCCGTGTCCGAGGAGGGGGACAGCTCAGGTACCGGAGTCGCCGTCTCCGCCGTTCTCTCTGCCCTTCCGGGGGGAACCGGCCCCCGGCTCCGGCCGCGGCTCTGCCGCTACCCGCCCCCGCCGCGACCCCGCCCCGCGGCCCTCCCGTTGCTGCGGCCCAGCCGGGGGCGGGGACGTGGCGGGGGCGCGACGGCACCGGTTCGGCCCCCGCCGCAGGTCGTGGTGCCGTGCGGGCCGGGCCGCCTGGTGCCGCGGTGTCTGTGTGGGGCCTCGCTGGGGCTTCGGTCCGCGGCCGGAGCCAACGTCCGCCTGTTTCTTCGCAGGCGAAACTGAGCATTTCTGTTGGGTGTTCTGGGGCCTGTCTGGGTGGGAGGGGACCTGTCAGTGCCACTGACCTCTTCTGCGCAGCGTTAAACCCTGCTCTGCTAAAGGCCCCTTCTTTTTGTGCCTAACTTGCTCGCGACTGCGGGCTGGGGATGATTTAGCATGTAAAGGTGAATATAATAGCTGTTCACCTGCCACCTTGCTAGAAGAAAAGTTTCCTGTCCGAGATTACCTCATAATTCCAAGGGCTAAATTAGAAACTTGTCATTTATTGAGAGCCACGCTGATCCTTTGGAGAGTGCACTGCAATCTGGGATCATGGGGCTCCGTAGGTCCTGGCCCACGTGGGACCTTTGTCACTGGATGCACTGGCTTTTCAGTATCTAAAGGGGAGCTATCGGAAAGAAGGCATAGGACTCTGTTATAATAGGACAAGGGGACATGTTTTCAAACTAAGGAGATGGGATTTGGTTTGGATAGGAGGGGGAAAAAAATGCAGTAAGGCTAGTGAGGCACTGGAATGCCTTGCTTAGAGATGTGGTCTGCCCATCCCTGGAGACAAAGATCAGGCTTTGAGCACCCTGTAGGTGTCCCTGTTCATTGCAGGGGAGTTGCACCAAAAGGACTGCGCAACTCAAACAATTCTGTGATTCTTTGAAAAGCTGGAGCTGTGCTCAGTGCTGGCTGTGGTCCTGAGGCAAGCTTCTGGTAGCTGGAATGTACTTCTTGCGTTTACAGTGCGCTGTCCTGGTCCAGGCCCATGCTTGTAGCAGCACAGTGACTTGTGGTGTGAGTGCAGGGCTCATGTGGTTCGGAGCATCCTACCTCTTCCACCTTTGAAATTGCATTTTTACATGCATTGACCTAAAATTGGTTTACCTGAATGTGTTAAAACCCTCAATATACTGTTAATTCATTATTATCTGGTATTAGAAGATCTGGGAGATCTTGACTATTCACATCCTCTGGCTTTTATATTCACACTGACTTCATTCCAGGGAAAGCCCTGGTGTTTCCATGGAGCCTCCTCTCGTCTGGGCTGTTTTTGGGTAGAAAACTGTGAAAGCCCACAGGTATGATACAGGGTCATCTAAGTTGGCTCTGCAGTAACAGAGTGTAGAGTGAAGGCTCTACCAGTGCTAGGAAAGCTTTGCTGCTGCCATGCTGAGAGAGAGTATAGACATGCCCTTGGGCAAGTATCACTAATTGAACCCCACTTTACAACTCTAGGCAGCTGATTGATTATTATCTGCTTGGATCAAACTGTCACCATCCTTCCTCTCATCCTTACTCGCCCTTCTTGGTGCAGCGTCCTGTCCTTGTTTCTTGCTCTGTCTTCAGTGATATTGGGCCTTTGTATGCTAAGCTGTCAGAAAAATAGCCCATTAAAAAGTGAAATAGCAAAAATGGCTGAGTGAAGAATTTGATTTGTGAATGAGAGGTACTGGGGGCTATGTGATGCTTAGGTGGACTGCAGCTCCATAGCAACAGAAGTCATAAATAGCAATTTTGTTAGAATATGTAAAGATCTCCAATTTACATCAGTTAACTTAGCACATGATTTTGTGAATTTAAGACTAATGACTTGCACAGGTTTAGACAGGAGGTTTCTTGAAGCAGAGATTCTGAAGTTCTTGGCAGTTTTCTGATCTGAGGGAACATCTTGCTTCTCTCATCAAATGCAGTATTACTCAGGAGATATTTTCAGTCCATAAACCATGGAGCACATCCAGGTATGGGCTTGCAAGAACTAGCAAAATTATTACAAACATTGTTTCTATTTGTGTCTATGATAACAACTGATTTGGTGAAGAGATTCCTAGTTCAGAATAGATAGTGCTGAGGCCCATATTTCTCCAAAGCGATAATGGTTTTCTTTTAGATAATATAGCCTGAACTGAACATGTATGGTTGGGAGCTGCCTGAAGAACAAGTCATTGTTTCAAACTCTTATGCTCTCTGTGGATATTTGATAAGTGCTTGGTGAAGCTTTGGATTTAACTTGATAGTTAAACTTGGTTTCTGTTCACTGAAACTGCTGCAAACGGAACCAGTGTGTACAAAGCTATTCTGTGGTGAAATATGTATGTGCACCAAACTTTATAAATAGTTGGGCTGTTACAGGTGAACAGTTCATTGATCCAGGTACAGATTTACTGCTGAGAAAGGCTGATTAGTCTTTCCTTACCCCTATTCTCTTGAAGTTGTTCAGTTGAATTAAAAAAAAAAAGAGCCAGAAAGATGTGCTTAACTTGCCTTCGGTAGATTTGATGAAACATAATCTGGGCAGCATCAGTGTGTACTGGTGGTTATGTTGGAAGAAAAGTAAATTTGAGAGAGGATATCAGGACAAGTAGCTGCAGGTATCACATTTTAAGTGTGAAAAGCATGTCTAATTATGCCCCTGTTTGCACAGCAACCTGCTCTGTTCCTTTTTGATGTGACTTAGGAAAGTATGTTTCAATTCTTTCATTATCAGAGTTGAATGTGGACTTGAATGTTTGGGAAAATAAATAAATGGAGACGGCTCTTCCCTCCTGTACATGACCAGTTTTCAAAAAAACTGAACAGACACCGTTTGTTAAATCGTTCAGAGGGAAAACATAGAGTAGAGGAGGAATGCACAAGCTTATTGAGTGATATGGAGGTGAGACATGGGGTTGCAAAGGACTCCTTGATGAGGTCCAGGAGCAGTACTGTAACAATAACCCTTACTTACTTAGCCCAGTGGCTTTTCCCACTTGAAATAGATTATGCAGTTTATGTAGGTTATTGTTATATAAGCTGCTTTTTCTCTATTTTTCTAACCAAACAGTATGTCTTAATTATTTTTTTTTTTAATACTCATTTTTTCCTATGTGGGAAAGGGAGCTTGATATCATAGAATCACAGAATGGCCAGGGTTTGAAGGGACCTCAAGGATCATGAATCTCCAACTCCCCTGCGACATGCAGGCTCACCATTTAACACTAGACCAGGCTGTCCAGGGTCCCATCCAGTCTGGCCTTGAACACCTCTGGGGATGGGGCATCCACAACTTCTCTGGGCAGCCTGTTCCAGCACCTCACCACTCTCTCTGTAAAGAACTTAAGAACTTAATATGACAGATATAAATGTAGCTTTCTCTCCTTCAACTCCCTACTCTGGTGAAGGGAAGACTGGTCTGTTAGTACCAGCTGCAGACTTTGAAGCTTCTTCTCTTTCAAAATTTGCCCATATTCTTGTTTGTAATTTTTGGTAATTGACATTTTTAAAGCAAACTTTGGATTTTGCAAGTCCATTTTGTTGATTTTTTAATTTTTTATTATTTTTAAATGAGGGCAAGTAATGCCGTTGCCTTTCCACAGTCTTTAGTGGGGATGAAGGAGGAGCAATGTTTTAAGTGAAAGTAGTGTGTGTTTCTTTAAAACCATACAAGAAAGCCTGTGGATAATTTCTGTTGCATTGCACAGAGGAATGCTTTTATGGGAGCTCTTTAGAAGTGATGACTATGGGAAATTACATGCTTGTTTCAGTGTCTTGAAAAATATGAATTTACTCCATGGAAGCGTGTTGCTTCTACAGACACAAGATGATTAGCACTGCAGGAAATAAGTATTAATTAAAATTACTGGGGGAAAAAAAAAAAGGGGGAATCCCTTCAAGTTCCTTCTCATAAATTTGTTATTTGTTTTACTTGCATTCAACTTCTTTTTTTTTTTTTTTTTTTTTAATCTCTTCCAATGGATGCCTGAAAAAATAGAAGGTGCAGTCAGAAGCAGCATTAACGTGCCCTTGAGAGCTGGCACGATTTCTATCCTCTTCCTTTTGTTGATACATATTTAGTAAAGTGTTGTGTTGTTTTTTAATATTGGCAAAGGCCTAGAGTAGCATATCAGGGATGAATAAAAAAGCCACAAGTTATGCTCACCATCCAAGATGAGAATTTGGGTATTTTATAGAGCATTTTTTATAGGCCACAGCTTATTAATAAGTGCTACGTTAGGTACTCTTGTGTTTTAAGTACTTTTTTTTGGTCTTTAAACTGAGCTGCCCTGGTTGCTGAGTTGGATTATTTAGATATAGCAGGGAAAGACTGTAATTCTGAAAGTGATTTAAAATGCCCCAAATGCTCTGTGTACTATTAAACCTAATGTGAAGTGTTGAGACAGTATGGGGCCGTTAGCAAGTATTTTAATATATAGTGAGTTGTTTTCCATTTCTAGCAATATAAATTTTCAACAGATAAGCTGTGAGATATAATTTGAAAACTTCTACTTTTTCATTACTGAATATGCACTAAACTATTCTTTAAAGGTAGGAAGAAGTTCTGTAATTGAGGAATTGAAGATATTTCAGGAGTCTTAACACTTGAAAATGGTTAATTGGCAAAATAAAGATGAAATAAGAAGATTGTTATTCAGTGTTATAGATAGAATGTAGACTTCTAGACAGAAGTAAAACATTTTTTGAGTGCATAGGTAGCTGAGGGGAGATTTGAACAAGCTCTGTTTTATTTCACTAAGTACAGGAGTGTCCGCTGTGCCCTCATGCCGATTTGTTTTCTTGCAACAGAGGATAAAAACATCAGATGCAATCTCCTTTCCCTCCAGTGTTGGGGAGTTGCACTGATCTTCAGAAAAGCCTGCTCTTCTAATGTGTTTTTTTTATTAGTTAGTTAGTTTGTTTTAAATTTGTTGTCCTAAAAAAACCCACAAGCAATAAAATCCATGTTGATATAAGGGAAAATTTCTAAATGTATTGCTTGCTGAAACATAGAAACGTAGAACCAAAACAATACCTGGAAAAATCTGAAATGTGTGCTTGAGCTTAAGAAGAAAGTGGGAAGTGATCTGGATCCCAGTGTTTTCTTGGTCTTGTCTTGTTTCACGGGACAGATCCTCCAAACTTTAGAGAATCTTTATTTTTATAGCACATAAAAGCTTCAGGCAACTCTCAAAGTAATGTAACTGCCACATTCCTTAAATCTGAACTGAGGTGAAAGTTGCCCAGTCATTTGGGCTCAGGTAGTACAGTGAACTGCCAACTAAACCTTTGCTCTTTAATCTGATTTTCAATCTTATTCTGGGTCTCAAGATCTGCCTTATTTTTGAGAATGGGAGTTTGAAATCATGCTTTTTAAGGCACGCCTTTAGAGCGTGTTTCTCTCCTCTTGCACTCTTCCCTGTGTGCTAAGCATTTATTAGAAGTTCCAGCTTTAAATTTTCTCTCTCTTCAGGCTAGGTCATCTTCTAAAGCTTTGTCAAAGTTTTCTGCTTGTACTGACTGTAGTATAAGGAACTGCAGTCAGTCTTTCATTTGGACGTACTTCTTTGCTGCCTGTTGGTTTTCATACACAGGTAGAAGGGGTCAGTGTGGTTTTCAAACTTAAAAGCTGTGTTTATTTCAATGAAAAGATATGATTTTAGTAAAAAGGAATGTGGAACAGACTTCATGCATCAAGGGATCTGAGTGGCAGATCTGAGTTAATTGGTTCCTCTGAGTCAGGGAGTTGATATGCAGGCTCCTCTCACCTTTCCAAATCACTGTACTCTTTTGCAAAACAACAAGAATGAAGGCTTGAATGCTGCCTATTTTGGAGCTGGCATATGAGACCATGTAAAGTAATGAAACGTTGACTGAGGAAGAGGCAAAGGCATTGAGTTGTCTGTGGACTAGAGGAGCTGATTCAGAGCATCTCTGCTCTGCTTAGGGCTCTGCTTGGCCTCTCTGTCAGCTGTTTTCTGGAGCTGCTGGGCACAGCCTCCTCTTAGTCAAGCTCTCCTCTTGTGCCCTGGCTCTTGGCTGCATGGCTCTCCGCCCTTCTAACACTGGTTAATGGTTAATTGCTTGTACCTTAACCAGAGAGCTGTTTCTTTGAGATGCAGCTGAGGTAAAGCAGCTTCAGGACATCTCTGCCCCCTGAGTATAGCTTAGCAGAGCTTGTTCTCCCTCTCTTCTATTTAAAACACACTGGGCAGGACTGGTGGAGCTTTAGGTCTAGAAATTCAGTTCGTTATCATGGAGAACTGTGGTTAATGAAGTACTGGGTTCAGAAATACCCTGGAAACTGGCGTGTCTTTGATAGGAATAGGATTTAGAACTTTCCATTTTATCCTCGCTTGCCAAGTACAGCAGAAGATTGCATGTCACTAAAATTCAGCAGTTTTCCATTCTGTGTTTGCTGCTTGTTACATCCATCTTTTATCCTCTCGAGGTGTGCTTTGCTAAATCTAAAAGGGCAGAGACAGAGATGGGATTTCTGTGTGAAGGAAAATAGAAGCAAGAAATGTTGTCTTGGGGAAACTTTTCCCAACTTTTACTTTATCTAATCCACCATAAAAGCAAGGAAAAAGATAGAAAATTCTTTCTTCAACAAAAGAAAACTAAACTGAAACTTTTAGTTCACCTTGTCAAGGCATTTACCTGAAGGTCAGTGGGTGCTGCCACTTCACAGTGTTAATGATTTTTCTATTTTGTAGTTTAAGAAATGGGAATGGAGGTAACAACTGATGCTTAGATGTCCCTTTGGACAAAAATTCTTGTCCAAAAAGTGAGTGTTTATTATAACTTACCATTATGTTCATTACGTAAAGTAGGGGAAAAAATCAGAAGTATGAATTAAAACAAAAGCTCTGAAAAGAATGTTATAACTCTTGCTGCATAAAAGCATATGAAATGAAGTTTCTGTAAAATCCTGTATTTTTTTTAGGTTTTAGTGTTAAAAACTGTTTAATTACAAAGTCTTTTTTAATAGTCATTGAGATGAGCTACAGATATTTCTACATGAATATTTTAGCTTCAAACAGCTCTTCCAATTAAAGAGGATGAAACCTTGTTTCAAAACCAAGTGTTACATTTTTCTTTTTAATGGATGTTAATGAAACAAAACCTTGAATTACATATGACAGGCACAACATTTGAACTTGCTCACTTGCTCTCCAGGGATTTCTTTTGCTCATACGGACGCAGGACACACTTGAATTTTCAGTTATGGCTAATAACTCTTCATGAGTAATGCTTCTTCTCATCTGATGTGCTGTACAAGGATTAATTGTTCTGTTTCACGCTTTCATTGGCATTTTACATTGTCATTTATGAGTTTTAACCTCTCGAAGTCTTACAATCATGTTGTCTTCTGGTGTGAGAAAGAAAAACAGCACTTCATGGGACTTCTTGAATTAAACTTAAGTTTCTTACTTAATGTGACAAGTGGTTTATTGTAACCTGCTGTAGCATAATAATATGGTGGTTGATCTGTTTATTGCTTAAATTCAGACGTGCTTCAAGTTTTAGAAGCAAACTATGCAGTCTACTTGGTTACATTGTTCAAAATATATTAACTTTTCTTACTCTTAGAAATGGATGATGAAGACTGTGAGAGGAGAAGAATGGAGTGTTTAGATGAAATGTCCAATCTTGAAAAGCAATTTACAGACCTCAAAGATCAGTAAGTATCTTAAGTGCCTCATTTGAGGGTCTGTTCTGTGAGAATATTGTGTGCAACTGGTGTTTCTTGTCTTTCAAATATCTGGATATTACTTTTGGAGAAGAATAATGGTTGAAAATTCTGATACGATTTGCAGGCAGTTGCTCCAGAATACTTTCTCTTTTGTGTCTCTGAAAGGGAAGAATATATACCATGGAGACACATGCACACGATGTGTACATTATGTGTATACATGTGCATGTATACATATATAAATATATTTATTTCTGTTTTGCTGTAAGAATAGTTCTGAAGTGTTGTGGTAAAGGGCAGGTGTGGTTCTGTTGCACCAAGGAATGGTGATCTTTGGAGAGGTATACCAGGATCCTTCTCCTCCCTGTGTATATGTATGACATGTATAAACAGACTCAAGCGTTGTGTTTGCTAAACTAGACATGAGGGTTTTTTCTAAGGCATCGTAGCAGTTTTAATTGCTGGCATTGATGAAAATTTCTTGTGATTACTGAAAACCAGATACCAATACTGAAAGTGAAACCAGTGTTAGGTCTGTTGGTAGTTTACTATAATATCTGTATCAGTGAAGACCTATATCTTCACTCAGTGGAGACGTAGTAAGCAGAAGAGAGGAAATGAATAGCCACCTGTACTCAAAAGTGGGTGTGACATTTTTGATAGTATTTGATATGTGAGTTTTCATCAGAGATGGAGTGAGGGCTGCTTCAATAAGAGCCTGCCCATCTTTTTCCTTTATTTTGTGGTTCTGTAGGAGCAGGTATGTGGACAAGAAAATGAATGCAGGTTTCTATCTAAAAATCTTTTTTCTCCCACCGGTAATGCAAGCATGGAAAACTTAAATGGTAACAAATCTTTAATTTACTTCTATAGGTGCACCGTGAAATTAACAAAGAGTCAGATTAGCTCTTCTTAAAATTCCTTCTACTTTGTATTTACTTTAAATTTATATATATTTTTAAATGTTTGTTGTTTTCAGACTTTACAAAGAAAGATTAAGCCAAGTGGATGCAAAACTGCAAGAGGTCATAGCTGGAAAAGCACCTGAATATTTAGAACCATTGGCAGCATTACAAGAAAATATGCAAATCAGAACCAAGGTGGCAGGTAGGCATATAAAATGAATGTTTCTGTTTCAACAATATGACGTTGCTATTCAACATCAATTTTATCAATTATTATTATTTCTACTTTAAAATTGCTGCAAGAGTGTGTTTTAAAGTTAGAAACACTGTGTCGTGGTTTTAAACTTAAAATATTTTTCAAGTCAAATTGAATAGGTTGCTTTTCTCTTCATTTGCGTGATAACATCATGCTAAAAATGTGGCTCATTTATGTTTCATTGAGTATCTGTCTTTGTGTAGTGAGCACAAAGTTTCTAAATTAGAAACAGTAAACTTTGATGCTTCATTGTTACTTTTGACTCCAGGCTGTGAAGAGAAATTGAAATCTTCTAGTCTATGGCATTTTTCTCTCTTCAATCATCTTCATAATGCTTTTCCTTAGCTGGTGACCTGGGTTTTAAGATCTTCATCCAAAATTTACTTGGTTAATTCTGAGTAGTAATTTTGCCTACTGCAGAAGATGAAGATTCTAAGTTCAAGAACTTGAACTTCCCAGGAGGTGTGACATGAAGCCACCCTTAGCTTTTTAGTTTTAAATGTGATTTTCTGTCAGTGCTTTTTTGTGGGTGTGAAAAGGCAGAATATTAAGGATTCTTCTGATTCAAGTCTTCAACAGCTGTGAAAATCAATGTTCCAATGTAGTGTTTTTCCTGAGCTCTTTCTACAACTTTTCTGAAGTCTAGAAATCAGATTTTTAAATTTTTTTTTCTTTTTTGATTTTGTTTTCAACTCATTGAGATTCAGAAAGTCATTTCAGAGGATACCAGAAATTGCAGAAAGAGGTTCTATTTGCTCTTACTGTTTCATGGCCTTGACAGAAGTGGGTAGTAGCAGGATTTGAGCTCCAGCAAGTAACCCTTAAGGACTGCAAATAAGCAGTGACTATGAATTGATAGGTGCTAGAAATAGACTTAATACTCAGAAACACTCTTATTTATATTGCAAGGAGTCTGTTTCATTGAGTGGAATAGTCTTGTTAAATGATGTGATTTATTAGTGTCGTGCTGCGCAAAGCAAACCCTGTTCCACACATTCATTTGTAAAAGCTTATTCTTTCATTCTGTTTTCCAGCTATTTGAAACTCTCAAAGTATTATTTAAAATAGTTATTAGAAAATAGAATAGGTGAATACTTATATATTTGAAATTTGAAGATATCCAGGGTAATTTGGTTGGCCTCATGAAATAGACCTATTTTGTAAGGTTAGCATGGTAACTAGTATAACTATTGACAGATAGGGCAAAAAGTGAAAATAGCATTTATTTTTCTTCAGATGTTTAGGTTTAATGCAAAAGTATTCATTAATTGCCTTACAAAATGTATCTATTTTTTCCCTTTTGTACATATTTTGGGACTTGAAGGCAATCTTAAAAGAGAATTTTGAAATCAGATATTAGCTAAAGAAAGTAACATTGTCGTTTGTTTGATGACAGGTATCTATAGAGAGCTTTGTCTGGAATCTGTGAAGAACAAGTATGAATGTGAAATTCAAGCCTCTCGACAGCACTGTGAGGTTGTGCCAGCTATTCTGTATCGATCATTTTCCTTTACTGTGTGTCATCCTTTCCAAGCTCAGTACATGTTTTTATGTTTTAATTTTTTATGTTCTAATTTTTCTATTGCTGTTACTTGCTATTTTAATGTGATCCTTTTGTGATATTAAAATCCACATTAAAGCTTGTTCAAAGCGTGAAGTCAGGTTTCTAATAGGTTCGCTTTCATATAAGTGTAATTTTCTTATTCAGTAAAATGAGATCAGTAAAAATTATTTTGGTACAAAGTTTACCAAGACCAGTAACTAAAATATCTACCATAATTTCAGCAAAAAGCACCTTACATTTTTGTGACTATAATACTCTTATTCAGTTTTTAACATATCTCTGTCTGTTGCCATTCCTGTGACTGCTTTTGAAAAAATGTGTTTCTCTACTTGAACATAAACATTTCCATTGAAGCATTAAATAGCAGTACTGTAGTGCAAATAATCATGTATGACCCTGTGGCATAGCTGCTTAGATCCTGATGCGTGCATTGTAGTCCTCCTCAGCATCTTATTACAGTGGCTTAAATGTGTGTTCTTCTGGGTGGCTGACTGTATTCTTGAAATTCCTGGTTCTTATTCTGCCAATAAATCAAGAGTGTACACACATACTATTTAAAAATTCCATTTTCTGGTTGCCTTACAAAAGAAAAGGTACAACATAAGACAGACTGTTCATTACTGGCTCTCTTCATTCCTGTGAATACAATCCTGAGGTTGGTCAGAATGCTATAAGACTTTCAGGGTTTCTTATCCACAATTGAATGATTTTCTTTGGCTGTGCATTATTCATCTTTAAGGTTGTCCTTGTTGCTTGTTTTGCTGCTATTCTTTTACAGTGGAACGTTTGGGATTCAAACATGCACCATCCAAGAAGGGTCCCTGGGGAAAAGCTCTCCAAAATCAGTAATGCTGCTTGTAGAATCGTTGCTTTCAGTATAGCTATTCAGCAAGAATGCCTCTGTTGCCTGTAACATCTTCTCATACCTTATTTGTTACCAAGACTGTCAGCAAAACAAGTGTCTAAATACAAACAGTATTTCATTTTAAAAAGGAAATATTAAAATGGTATCAGAACAAATAGTACTCATTTGACATTTCAGGTATATGTAAGAATGCTTTTGCATTTTCAGTTCAATTGAGGGTTATTTTTTATTTAGTAGTAATTTAGTATTTAGTAGGGTTGAGAAATATATAACAGGGGGATCTGTGGAACACAAGTACTTTGTAACTTGAAGGGAATGTTAACTATACAGATGTCTATTGGAGTAGAAGTATTCGCTGTTTTTGTTCCTGAGCTGATTTGCTTCAGTGATTTTGCTTCAGTGTTGAGTGTGAACATTGTTTTTGTAAGTTTCTGTTAGTATACTGTGCTGTGGGCAGAAGCAGTTGAGATACAGAGATCTGCTGAATTGGCTCTAGGTCTGCAACCTCTGGCAGAGACAGTGGCAAATAAGTAGATGCAGTGACTTGTGCTACTTAAGCTGGTTGTTTGTTTGTTGTTGTTTTTTCCTTCAGTGATTAAGTCCAAGTCTCTGTTTCCTCGAGTTGTTAGTGGTGTTGGAGCTTAAGAATGTAAGTCAGCTGCACTTCCTACTTGTGTTTTAGAAAGTGTGCAAGTGAATCTCAGCTTAATTTCTTTCTTTTAATTAAAGTTCCAGTTTTAGAGAGTTAAGTATGTTTAGAAACTGCCTTTAAAAGGGTAACTGTTCAATATAGATATTGTATAACTTTCTTATCAGCTCACTAATAGGGTGTTATAATTGAGAGCTGCTGTACAAAAAGTTGATTTTTCTCTTTCTGAAATACTTGTAGGTGGAAAAGAGGTTAGACTACAACATGCTGTAGAAAGCTTGCATCAGGATGTGTTTCCATTGGTGCATTACTAGCACTTTTTATATAAGAGCATTGGAGGCATTTTGTTAATCTATATGAATCAGAGATAATCTTTTAAATTGATGAACTAGCTAGCCTTTCTAAAGCAGTTTTAAGAATATTTCTCACAGCTTTAAGATACACAGTTTTGCTTTCACAACTGTCTAGATTATTTTATGTGTGCTGATACCAAGTGAATGTGCCATCTTTGAGGAGCTAGGATCTCATGATAAGGAAATGAGTACAGGGCTATATTGTATGCTTTCAGCTCTGTTAAGTATTCACCTCAAATCTGTTCTTTCCTTCTGCTGAGCCTTTAAATTACTGTAATACAGAACTTAGTCATGCTTCATTTCTTGTTATTTTAGAGTGAAAAGCTTCTGTTGTATGATACTGTACAAAGTGAACTAGAAGAGAAGATTAGAAGACTTGAAGAAGACAGACATAGCATTGACATTACCTCAGGTGAGTGAAAATTTAGTTTTTAAATTTTTTTATTAAAAGTTCAGGTAGCTATACTATTTCTGGTGAGTTTCAAGTTATTCAGTAGAATGCTGTTCTGAACGACAGCGTAAGGTTTGTGGGATGAGCTTGAATTTAAGCTTAAAGCAAACTTTGGTCTGATAATTATCAGCATCTGTTGTCTGTTTAGAGAATATTCATCTATGACTGCATGATCATGTGACACTTTAGTTCTATTCAGAATCAGCATGTCACCAGATTGTCCAGAAATAAAAACAAACACTTTTCAGATTTTCTTTTCTGTGAGAACAACTAGGTATACACATCTCTGATTCATTCATTCTTATTATTTCTTTTCAGAATTATGGAATGATGAGCTACAGTCAAGGAAAAAAAGGAAGGATCCATTTAGTCCAGATAAAAAAAAGCCTGTTGTTGTATCAGATATCCTTTCATCGAAATCATTGATCATTCTGGTAGTATTCACTACTATTTTATAGCTAGTCATATTATGTATGTCATTAACAAGTTGAAGAGATAATACATTCTCAAAATTTATTTTTGAATGGCAGGTGGTATTCTAATTCAGATTAGAGAAGCCTAGTCAACACATCCTGTTATGAAAATTAAAATTAGGAATCTGTAATTACTAGCTATGTACAGAGACTATTTATAAAAATATCTATCTCTTAAAAAAAATAGAAGCTACTTGGCTCATCTTTTGAGTATTTGGTGTAGGTACTTGACATCATTTTTGCAGTATAGTTGGAAGGAAAGGAAGAGCTCCTGAACTGGGCCCTATGTATATTAAGGAACGCAGTACACATAATGAGGAATGTATCTTGAAGCATTTCTGGCCTGTTTTTGTGAAGAGCAAGGAGATAGTTGTTGCAAGTTAGGAAAAGCTTTTTTTCTTAGGTGGAGACATAGAAAGCTGATAGCTCTGAAAATAAACACTCTTTTTGGACATAAATGAACAATCAGTAACTTTTCATTACTACAGCCACTTTAAAGGGTTAACTGGATGGAAGACAATGTATGAGGTAAAATGTTGGCTCTCAGTGTAATGGAGATTCAGCCTGATGAACAGTTAGCTACAAAATGAAAGCAGAAACAGGCATGATGTCTGCAAAGTGCAACTTGACTTGTGTCACTTCTACTTCATAGATTTGCTTCTCTTACTGGGGCATCTTCAACTCAATTTATGACTTCTTAACAATTTCCAAGTCTTTAGAACCCTCTTTGATTAATTGTCTCAATTCTTGGAATTTTTAATTTTTATAGGCATTTTTTGAGCTTGAGGTTCCTGTAGAATGGGTATAGTATTTAAGAATTTTGTATCAGTATCTTCTATAAAGCTGTAGATGAGCATATAGTGCAGCTGAAATTTTTAAAGTTATGGCACTTTGAAGAAAAATTCTTGTCTCCTAAGAAAGAAACTGAATATTCCATGTCCCTTCTGTCCGTAATCCACGCTGTTATTGCTTATGATTTTAAGGTAGCTGTGAATATGTCACTTTGCAGAGATCTGTGTAAAGCAAGTACTTAGGAATTCTACAGCGCTCTTGATTTGTAATTCTCTCCTAGTTAGAGAAAATTAAATCAAATATGAAAATGGTGAAGGATTCTTGAAGTTTCAAATAAAATGTAGAATACCTTAAAAATGATAACTTTAGAAGAGATTATACTAGTGCAAATGCTTTTTTTAGTGGCGTATTGAAGTCGCAGGAAGTTTTAACTGTAATTTATAACATTGCAAGTAGAATGATTTTTGGAACAGGGATGGTATGGTTGTATGACAATCGTTAATCTTATTTTTATGTTGAATTCCAATAGTATGAATATATACGTGCTATTACTTCTTTTAATAACTTTGAAAGTATACTTCTAGGTTGCCTAATTCAAAGATGCATTTATTTTTACTGAGCTTCAACTTCACTCAGGTATTTTTTTTCTGTGAGACAAATATCTTAATATCTTCATACAGTCTTTAAAATATTTGTATTATCACTGTTTAGAAGAGTTTTCCCTAACTTTTTCACGCCCCTATATAGTTTATATGTTACAAGACCTTGATATACTTGAAGACTGGACGACAATAAGGAAGGTAAGATGAAAGCATGAATGCCAGTAGCTTTGGGTTTCTTTGGGTTCTTGTCTATTCCTTTTCCCTACTAGAAATATGTAAATGTATTTCTAATCAAGACTTAAGTACAGGTATGTATTTATTCAGATGATTCCAGTTTGAGCCATGCTGTTGCAACTTTTCCTGACTCTACGCAAATCATGCAAAGGAATCTGAAAAGGAGATGGCAAAAGTTATCTCTTAGGATTTGTCATCTCTAATTTCTGTGGTGGACTGAACTTGAAGCCTGTATCAAGGTGTATGGGAACTGCTGAGTCATGGCCTGAACCTCTGATTGATCACCTGAGGCGAGCAGTGAGTCAGCCATGGGAGCACAGGTGAAAGCAATTCACCTGTGCTGCAGGAAGGGGTGGAGCCTGGCTCCACCTCTCCTAGACCCATTTAAGAGCTGACTACCAGTGGAGAAGGATCTCTCTTCTTGAGATCCACTCCCCTGGAGTTTCCTGAGTTAGCCCACGATACCGGTGAGCATCTTATCTATTCTCTTTGTCTTGCTTTGCCTAACTCTCTTGTTTATTTTGTTATTATACGCTATCTTAATATTCTCTGATTATACACAAGGCCAGCTGATTTCTCATTGTTTCTACTAAAGTCTGTCATACTATGATAGTTTGATAAGGTTTTCTTTTAAATAAAGATTTCTGAATATATATGTTTTGTTTTCTGATAGTAAATGTGTCATTTTATGATGATACGTGTCCTTCAGCCTCTCATTACACTTTTTTTTTTTTTTGGCTTAAAGTATAATGCTGTGTTTTTCCCAACTGTAAGAGGATTGGGATTTACAGGAAGATAAATTCATTTGACTAATGAATATATATGGAAAAAAACAAATCCAAATCTTGGGTACAGTGTGTCTTACCAGATCTTCACCATAGCGTTAGTGTAACTTGATGTAATCAAATGCTATTCTTTCCTTGCGTCTTCAGTTGGAAAATTTTTCCCTGTATTCCAGCAAAAATCAGTGCTTTCCAACTTGTGGAGCGGGAAACTATGTTGTAAGAATTCGGAAGCTTTCTAGGAAATGGTGTTGAGTTCATTTCCATCTGTCTTGTGGTGCTGATGTGAAAACCTGTCAGTTTTTCCCTCTCATCAGAGGCATAGATAAAAAAAAAAAATAGCTTCCGCTCAGTTTCTTTGCTATAGTGTAATGTGATTTAAAGCAATAGCAACAACAAAAATTAAAAATCTATTTTGCTGCTGCATATGATTCACGAATTTTCACTTGCATGAGTTGTCTGATTGTGGGTATAACTTAATAATCCAGTGTATGGGAACTGCTGAATCACAGCCTGAACCTCTAATTGATCACCTGGGGCGAGCAATGGATCAGCCATGGGAGCACAGGTGAAAGCAATTCACCTGTGCTGCCAGAAGAAGTGGAGCCTGGCTCCACCTCTCCTAGACCCATTTAAGAGCTGACTACCAGTGGGAAAGGATCTCTTCTGGAGATCCCTCCTCTGGAGTTTTGAAGCAAGCGGGTAAGCATTTTATCTATTCTCTTTTTGTTATTATAACCTGCTTAGCCAAACTCTCTTGCTTATTTCATAATTATAAAATCTTTATATTCATTGATTATATATCCGGAGTGTGGGTTGTTCAGGTAGCACTTAGTTTTTCAGTATTAGAATTAATATCATTTTGTTTTTTAATAGAATTACATAATAGATTTTATTTAGAAAACTTGAGATATGTAAAATCAAAACTCGTTAGAGAAGGTCATTTTTCCTCCTTAAAAGCAAGTGTAACTAAACAGTTCATATTCATAAAATAACGTTTTGTTTTTCCCCTGAAAATGTACTTAAGGTTTGTATTCATTTCATAGTATCATCAGTATCACATAACATTAATGCCACACATAAAAACAAATGTATTGAGCTATGCTGCACAACACCATTTGAGCTGCAATTAAGAAAAAAATTCTGCTTACTGTCTTCATTTTCTTTTGCTTCAAGGCAATGGCTACACTGGGGCCTCACAGAGTAAAGCCAGAACGTAAGTAAACGCTGTTTGATTTCACAAGACAGAATTTGCAATATACAATGATGCAAACTGCATTGAAGTAGGCTATATTTGTTTTAGCCTTGGTATACTGAATGCAGGGTGGGGTGAGCTGACGGGCAGATGTGGATTTTGTCTATCCCTGCTCTGAGTTGCTGATACTTGCAACCTGATTGGTGATTGTCATTGATGTGTGAACTGTAAAAATATCTTAAAAATTAAGACTTCTAAGAGTGGGCCTTACTAGTGAATACTGGTATATTATGCCAATATTTTCATAAAATGAGACAGGAAGCTGAAATCACCTGAATTTGGGGCATTCTAAACGTGCCTTGTGTTTGCTGTAAGTTGCAGCTCTGAAAAAACAGGTGTGAGAAAGGAGTGGCAAATGATAACATGGTCTGAAGTAAGAAGCATATTAATTGTAGGTAAAATCAAATGCTTGGAGGTAGTGAGTAATGAAAAAAAGGGGGAAAAGACAAGTGAGTGGTTTCTTCAGGGGTAAATTACTGCTTGCAGTCTGAGATAATGCACTGATGAAGAGATTTCATATTCTGTGTCTTGTTGCATTATTCTAATTGTGAAAATTGACATCATAGATATCGTTGTATGAAAGAGAATTTTTTTAAATGGGAATACAGCTTTTTATTTCCAGTCAGATAAATTAATATCTTCTAACTTTCTTGCATTTGGAGTCAATTATCTAGAGAGAGACGACTACTGACAATGGAAAAACTGCATATTTTGTGTATAAATAATTTACTGAATGTTTATTTTTAAACCTTACCAACTTCTGCCAATTGATATTAAATTTGATCATTTTAGCACCTGTCAAATTAGAGAAACATCTACATAGTGCTAGATCTGAAGAAGGAAGACTGTATTATGATGGAGAGTGGTATGGACGTGGACAGACGATATACATTGATAAGAAAGATGAATGTCCTACAAGGTGAATATTATTCATTTTATACAGCTCTGTATATTCCTGTTAAGCAAAAGGCAACGTGGGGCCTTGAAGAATAAGGCTTAATTGAAGATAACATTCAACCTCTACAAGGTTGAATTTCACTGAAGGTAATGTGTTTCTTAGGATGGGATTTTATTGAAAGATTGAAGCTCTTAACTAATTTCCGGCCAGACTGTGATTTAAGGGTTGTGTTTGGGGATTTTGTTGCTTTGAGGCTGTGTCCTGTTGGCCAGATGTAGAATAGTAGGGAAAACTACTTTTTGCTGTTAAAGAAAAGCTGTTTTTTTTCCAAAATTTAAAGAATCATGGAATGGCTTGAATTGGAAGGTATCTTGAAGATAATCTAGTTCAAAACCCTCTGCTCTGACAGAGTTGCTATCCACTAGACCAAGATATCCATAGCCTTATCCACCCTGGGCTTGAATGCCTTCAGGGATGGTCATCCACAACCTCTCTGGGCAGGCTGTGCCAGTACTTCACTACCCTTATTGTAAAAAAAAAAAAAAAAAATTTCTTTTATCTGATCTAAATATCTCCTCTTTTGGTTTTAAGCTATTTTCACTCGTCTTGTCACAGAGGACCCAGTTAAAGAGTCTGTCCTCTGTTTCCACAGTTTTAATCTGTGTTTGAGCTATGTTTGTCACCAGTTCTGTTTGGAAGAAACATTTTAAGGTTTGGGTGTTTTTTTTCTCAGTGTTTGTGTTAGGGTTTACCACAAGGAGGATAAAAGCAAAGATCATGTAAGAATGATTTGGTTAAATTAAGTAAGTCAGGCTTTAGCTTTACTTTTTGTGGTTTTGGTGCTGGGATTAACAGTTGAATACTTTCTTCATTCTATTTATTTAAGCTTTGTTTTTGCTCTACACCTTGGGGTTTTGTATGTTTAAGCATTTTCTGGATATGCTTTCTAGTGTGCTGTGGGTACTCTGTTGATTACTATGAGTGACTGTCCTTTGTAACGATTAAAGTATTTGTAGATGTTGTGAGAATTTTCTTGTAAAAGGAGAAAAATTATCTGGCTGAAAATTCAACTATTTACTAGAGACTCATAGAATTACTAAAAAATTGTGTGGAAACTGTCCTTACAAAGGAGCTGGTACCCTCTGAGCCTAGTGTTTACACCTACTACATATTTTCACTTATAGTACAGCTGGAGTTTCTGAGGTTTTTTACTCTTATCTTTTATAAATGCTTCTTTTTTCTTTCCCTGACCCTTCTTCCCTCATTTTCTGTAGTGCCATAATTACAACAATTAACCATGATGAAGTTTGGTTCAAAAGACCGGATGGAAGCAAGTCCAAGCTATATATTTCTCAGCTACAGAAAGGAAAATATTCAATAAAGCATAACCACAACTGACTGTTGCTAAGCCATGCTTGATGTGCCATGGGATGGAAGTTGTATTTAATAGCATTTTGTATTCCTTATAAATTTACAGCAGTATCTGATGTGTATTTGTAGTGCTGTATGTAAACTTCATACGGATGGCTTTCAGAAACCTGAGGATGTTAAATCATGTTGACAGACATTTTACCTCTAAATCGGGTCCAGTGCCTAGACATGAAGTATCTCTTCAAATGTAATGGCTTGGAATTTCTCATTAAAAGTTAATCTTTTAAAATGGAAAAAAATAAAAATAAAAAATTCTTTTTCATTGGTGACCAGTTTGTTTGATAAAAATGATACCCACAATTACCAGCAATTCACTTTGTTTTCAGTGAATGTCATGCTTCTCTTGTGGATGTAAATTTAGCTTGTTCAGCTGTTGCTTTTAAATAGATTGTAACATGCATAAAGCATTCTTTTATCCGAAGTGGATTGATTTATTAAAATTATTGCCCTCGACAGCTCTGCTAGTTCTGACTGTGTTATATTTTGTGAGGTTTACTACATTGTTTGTAATGAGACAAAGCTAATATTTTGAGTTAAACTTTTTCAGGAGCACTTTTCTAACTTAGGCCTATACAGGAAACATATTATTGGTCATTTTTCTTCTTCCCTGATTATCATCAAGATTTGTGTGAAATAGTGTTCCTCCAACATGTGTTATATGCAGCCCACAAAGGGTGGCTGCTGGGACGATTATGTAAATACTGTTGCATGCTTTGATTATTTCATCCATAGTTGTATGGAATATGGTGAGTTTTCTTCTGGGGAAATATTTCCCTTTTGAAATCATATAACTGAGCAAATATTCACCGTCGTTTTCACCAAACATTATTTTCCAAATTTCTGTAACCCATTTCATCTTTCATCGCCATTGTATACCAGAATTATTCTATGCAGCTTAGAAAGCTGAATTTCTTTTGTATCTTACTGTTTAAGCCACCAAGAAAAATCCTTAATCCTTAATGTTACTGTGATGTGCTTGAAGCATCTAGACTGTTAGATGGGATTGTTGAAGAATTTTTAACGTGTTGGTTTTGTGCACTTTAATCTCCACTTATGATGACTCTGTGGAGCAAGAAAGCATCCATTTGGTTTAAAGGATCACAGCAAATAAGTATTTTTATTGTAACATATACATTGTTTATTCCTATATTAATTGTCTCTTTTAGTGCAGAGTGGTAACTACTTTCCAAATGCCGAATCAGTTTCTTCTGAGTGATGCTTTTCTACAAGCATATGACGTGAATAATGTATATAAAGTATCAGTTGACATTGGCTTTTAACAAGATGAACTGTATGTATACAGTTGTTTGATAAACTTTTTGTAATAAAACATTCGTATTTTTTAACTTAGTATATAAATAAATGATTGGTGTTAGTGGACATCCTGAATGTTGTTGTGCCTATTTGTTTTCTAGTCTCGGTGTTGCTGATGTAACAACTCTGTAAACAAAGTATATTTTAAGTTTGCAGAAAGCATAAATATCTTAAAGCTCCTTGACTTGTGCTTTCTTTCTCTTGAATATTGAGTGTGTGCACTTTTTTCTTACATCTTTTCTTTAGTATGCTATGAAAGCAGAGCTATGAAAGCATTGCTCTGCACATTTAAAAAATTACATTTTAAGCACTCCTAAAAATATCTTGGCTCCTGAATGGCTTGAAATCATTTGTACATAGGGTGTACTGAGGCCCCCAAGTTGTTCAGGGGTTCACCTGTTTTCTCCCTGTATTCTGCAGCATGCTGGTTGCAATCAATTGTTTCTAGAGTTGTTTCTAATATCTTTGGGTGCAGAGCTTTGCTTTGTGCTACTGTGCTGTTTAGGTTGACACCTGGTGAGTGTCTTCTCTATTCAGAGTAACTGCTCGTGTGAACTTGACAGTTAATAAGCATAGCGTTATGTCTTAGTGGTCAAACAACTGAGATCGAACTATTCCATTTCTGTAATTGCAAGAATGTTAAGCTGTGGCTTTCCTTTAAATGAAATCACTTGTGCATGTGATAGGAAAGGAATGAGAGCGTTTCTTAAAATTGGTTTTGTCCTGTATTTTTTTTCTTGAAAATGTGATTTATAATTGTTTTGTTTCTGTATGAGCCATATTTGGTACAGGTTGCATATCTTTGTGTTATTTGTCAGTTAATGGTTTGCCTACTGTCATAATTATAAGAGATGTCTTGAGGTTTTAGTCCTTTAGAGTACAGACATTGTTAGCCTCTTGTTCATCTGTCATTTGCACTGCTACAGGAAAGCTTTTCAAGGTTCAGTAGCTTTGCTTTAACCTGCAAATACAATTAAATTCAATGAAGCACTGAAAGGAATAAGGAGTTGGGTATACTACATACTATTTATTTCTTGATCTGTACACTTTGTGAAAGGAAAATAAATAAGCGTAATAGATACTGACAAAAATAACTTTGTTATACTTCAGAGGAGGTGCTATTTTTGCTGAACAAAGTGACCTGTTCATCTTTCCCATAACAAAACTGTAGGTATATTTAATTGAAATGCAATTGATGTAACCCAGAAGCATTCAATGTGGTATTTTGTAACAGCAAGCTCTTAAGCTTTCCAAATACACTTGAATGTTGACGCTTTATCTCAGTGTGTTTTAAAATTGTGAAAATCCACTATTTATTTATATTCCATGGGACATCTCGTTTAAGATTTGGAAGCCAAGGCCTGCATAGCCAGCTCACCATCCCCACCAAGTGGCAAGGGATGATTAAGCACTACAATTTTCACACTCAAAACCTATGTAGCCTTCCACTAACAGGTTATGTTGGTTTGTTTTTCTTCCTTTCTTTTCTTTTCCTGTGGAAGAGCTGTGGGTATTTTTGTTGTTTTCTTTTGCATGGAAGTTTTTTTGAGAGCAAGGGAAAGTGGTAGAGAAGAAAGCATGCGGTCTATAGACCACACATTTAAGAAACTAAAATCTTCAGTGCTTTTGTGCATCTCAGGTTGGTTCAAGCCTGTCACTGTTCCTGGTGTTAGCTAAATGGCTTTCTTCACACAAGTTCTGCATATGACAGCTCTGTCCAAGCACACCCTTTTACAGACAGCTTAGTGAGCAATATGGTAGGAGTAGTCAATCCTGATGGAAGGCCAGCCACCATTGGAGCTAGGACAGGTAGGCAGTGACATGCATCTGGTATGAAAGGTAACTCGGGGTCTTGCAGCCAGGTGCTCTGGGTGACTTGTGCTGTTGGGAACTGCCTGGCTTCTGGAACTGCTTCAGTGGCTCTGTGGCATATGTGTAGCTCAGCTGCATAGTGCATCTGCAGTAAATCAGCATGGAGTTTGCAGCCTACAATTTAATCAAAAGCACAGCGTGTGTTCCCTAAGCCTGCTATTTCCTGGAAATGCCAACCTAACTGTCTTGTATTGTGTATGCTTTTATTTTCTCTGTACAGAAAACCTGGTCTTGGTGAAATAGAGGTGACCCTCAATCAATGTTTAAGATTGTGTTTACTGTTCCAGTTAGGTGCTTCCAAAAAATGATGAGCTGAACTGCTGCTTCAGCATGCTGGTTCACACAGGCCTCCTTCCTCAAAGTCTGACTTTCCCAGGTTTTATACAATGAGTTGGAGTGCTTGAGGTGAGTGGAGAGTTTCACCAGCTGGCAGGGGACGCAAAGTTAGGTGTGGGCTGAAGGAAATGTTGAAAGGAAGATGTTCTAACTACAGAATAAAGATTGAAGGGTAAATGGACCAACTGAAGTGTATGTCAAACATCAGCTTTTCAAAAAATGGTGAAATGAGTAACAGCCCCAGTTACTGATGAGTAGAAGCATGCTGGAATAGAGCAATGCAAAGGAAAATAGGCTGCTTGATTTATTTGAACAGAGGACATCAGGCATCACAGAATTGCAGGGATTGGAGGGGACCTTAAGAGATCATTGAATCCAACACCCCTGCTAAAGCAGGTTTCCTAGAGCAGGTTGCACAGGTAGACATCCTTGGGTCTTGAATATCTCCATAGGAGGAGATTCCACAGGCTTTCTGGGCAACCTGTTCCAGTGTGCTGTCACCCTTTTCACATGTCTGTGTGGAACTTCTGATGTTCAAGTTTCAGGCCATAACTCCTTGACCTATTACTATACACCACCGAGAAGAGCCTGGCCTTATCCATTTGCCTCCCATCTGCCTTTAAATGTTTATAAACATTAATCAGGTCCTGCCTCAGACTTCTTTTCCCCAGGTTGAACAGTCCCAGGTTACTCAGCCTTTCATCATAAGGGAAATGCTCCAGGCTCTTTTTCCTGTGAGCAAAATCAGTCAGAAACAGCTGGCAAACAGGAATTTTGTTGAACCTGCCTATCCTCTGTGACTTGGGATCTTGGGGTGTCCTGCTCCTATGCTGCAGAGAGGTGTTGTGCTGAGTGCCTGCAGGTGGCAGTAGGTTTATGTCCAAATTCCTTACTGGTAGACTACAAATTTTCTGTCAAGATCCAGCTTGGGTTTTTTTTGTTGTTGTTGTTGGGTTGGTTTTTTTTTTTTGCTCTGTTTCCTTCAGTTGTAGTGCTCCTGCAATTGGTTTTAATCCTAATGCATACTAATTAAGGGATATTTAGAAAGAGCAGATAGTACACGGAGCTCTAAAGAAGGATTATCTCTAGCTACTGTATCACAGAGAAAATTGGCGTGTAAAGGCTTAGGAAGCAATAGAAACGGATTAGATGCTTTCTAGTTGCTATAGAAACAAAATATGTAATTAAACAAAATGAAATATATTACAACTCTTACACTGATGAAAGTACTTAGGGAAGGTTGGACAATAAATGAGTGTTTTATGCTGCAGTACCAACCCAAGAAATAAACAGAGCTTTGGGATTATTTTTCAGATAAAATGTTCATCTGCTGCCTTTTGATGCTCAGTTAACTCAAGCCAAAAATATTTTGTTTCCTAAACTGAAGCTATAAAAAGTTGTCATAATAATAACCAGTAAGTAATGCGGTGAGGTCTTGCATCGGTACTGCTGCAAATTTATACAATTAATGTGAAGGTGAGACAATTTTGAATAGATAACGTGTCAGATCAGAAAGTGAATAGTGCGGATTTTGCACGCGCTGCAGATGAACTAGCAGTTAGTGCCACCTGCCAAAAGAGGGCACTTTGGGGTTTCTTATCAAGTGCCATTGACTTCAAAAGTTTCACCTGAGTTCTCAGAACATTTTTTCTTTTTTATATCTTAAAATTTGATTGTTGACAATTCAGAAAGGTCGCGGTGGTTGCTACTTCTTTGTTAGTTTAATTTTGAAGGTGACCATATCTGCTAATGGTAAATAAAGGAGGCACGTTTGTATAGGAGCTTTTATTTAGCATGTGGCCATGGAAGGAAGATCACAGTTTGTTGGCTTCTGATTTTATGGAAAAGAGTTAGAATGCCAGTATATGATTCTTCATCTTTATTTGTCAGAGTGCAGCTCTGCCATTCCCCAGGCTGTGTTTTGAGCCCAGTGTGATGAACAGGTTATTTTACATTTAAGGCTATGAATTGGGCTCCAGTTTTTATTATCCAAGCAATTTTGTTTGGATCAATTATGGATTGAAGTACATGAGTAACTTGAGTGAGATAAAGTCTGTGCACGGGAGGTAACTAAAAGATGACTGTTCAGTTTCAGTTTTCTATTACACCACATTAGCAGCAGGAGTCAAGTCACAAATCAGTGTAAATGCATCACCATTATTCTACGAATTCACCTGTGCTGAACAGCCCTGAACCCAGCCAGCACCTGTGAAAAAGCTGTGAGATGTTCTGATAAAATGTACTTATTAGCAGTTACTGAATTCACATACTTGCCCAGGTACTTTCATTCTTTTATTGTATTGTCTTTCTTCTTCTGTAACTGGAGTACTCAGTAAATCTCCAAATAGAAAGCAAGAGAAAGCTTTTGGGGGTGAAATGCGTGGTTCTTCATTTTGTTTTAAATTCTTTCTTCCAATTTTTCCCTTCTAAATAGTCCAAGATCCATATATAAATACTGCTAATGATGAGGCAGCCGTCAGCCAATTCCAACATGCCTACAAATGAACCATTTCTAATCAGCCTTTCTCTGAATTGGGCTCTATCATAAAAATTTCACGTGCAACTCACAAAAAGCTGTTTCTTATTTAAGTAATGCTTTTTTTTTTTCTTTTTTTGCCTTTGTGGGGTATAAATAGCCAAGTATTTTTTGGAATAGTACAGACTAAAAATGTTTTCCTAGCCCTGGCTCAGGATGTGGGTTGCTTTATTATTGTATTTCATAATGTAATAATTTTTTTTATTGTAGAAGAACTAATCCTGATGGACTTGTATTTGTTTTATGAGGGAGGCCATCACCACAATGGTCACCTCCTGAGACACAATACTATTAAAATCATCATCCCTGGTTTTAACTTTAGAAGCACGACTGCCAAGACTTGTTGGCACCTGCATTTGGTGGTACCCATTCACCAGTGTGAGGAAATCTGGCATCCCTCCCTTGGCAGGAGCAACAGCACTGTGAGTAGGCAGCTGCAGTCCCACCTCTGCATCCCAGCTGTGTTTGCTGTTACCAGGTGAAGTGGAGCAGCAATTCCACAAGGCTTCATGTGTGGTGTTACTGTGGGCTTTCTCTGAAACCTCTCCCTGCGTCATCAGTGGGATTACAGCTTATGTTCAGCAGTTTTAGCAGGAGGGCCAATAGGAGGACAGATGAACAACTGATAATGTACTGGAATAAATCTCATTTCCTTGGAAAACTGAGTTAGAAAAGTGTATTTAATATCAAAAACTGTGAGCAAGCAAAACACAGCCAAGATGTGTCTGAGATCACAAAACCCAAAGCCCTGAGCATAGCACCAGCTGTGATGACAAGTACTGGACAAGATCTGTAATAATCCTCTTTTCTGTACCTTGAATATTCATACAAAGCCTTGTGATGTTTAATTACAACACAGCTCAGAAACCAGATCTTCAGATGATAAAACTGCAGTATTTTTGAACAGGTAGAACTACATTAAATGTTGGGCTCCTTTGTATGAGATTTCCTGAAAGACCTAAAATGTCATTGTGTAGTGGTTTCTCTGGATCAAGATGTCTTGCTAGAAATCCTGTTGTGGGTTTCTATGTTGTGTAGGATTTGTTCTTAAAAATTTTGAGCTGCTAACAAGGTTAAATAAAATGAAAAACCTGTTATAGATTAAGTCACTTCATAAGATGCACTTGGAGAATGTATTTCTGTGTTTTCAGGGTCATGTCTGCTTCTAGTTTTCTCATTCAATTTCCATAGAAAATGAATATATGCCAATTATGAGTTAACAATTAAATTCAAGGTAAATTCAAGGTTTTCTATTACTGTGAAAAGATTCCAGAAGCTGTAAAGAAAAAAGTCACAAATATTGAGCATCCTTTATTATTCCATTCTGATTTATGTATACTGTTGTTTATGAATGGCTTCTCTAATTAGGTTTGCCATATAAAACAAGTCCCACTGATATAATAAGGTTTGAAAAGTATGAGCGTAGGCATTAACCATTTAGACTTTAACAAAATCTTCCGGTTTATGTAACTGACTTTATACCACGTAAAAATTTTAAAATATTTTATCTGACTGTTAAATTTGTTTTATGGGAAACTGCCTCAATCACTAAATGAAGGTTCTGGTCCCAAATATTCTTTTCCACTGAAACTGTGGAAAGGTTTTGAGTTTTGTTCCATGCTGGCAAAAGTAAACAAAACACTGCAGTATGGCTTTTTGCAGGACAGAGGGAATGTTTTGTATTCGTCAGGACAGCTGAGCCTTAATGTAGAACATGGAAGATCTGCTATATCCAACTACTACGAAAATAAAAAGACTCAAGTGTTTTTTGTCAAGTAGGCATTTTCTGCTTCAAAATACTACTTAAGCTCAAGTTCCTGTTTCCTATCTGAAGAGTGGCTAAAAATAATGTGATGTCCAAGGCATATTAAGGCAAATGTAAGCATACTGTGCCAGCATAATTTACACTTAAGCTTACAACACACCCCTGTATGTGTATTTGTCAGTGTTTACGTAGATAAATGTGCATGTATGTACAAACATGCACCAGTCTCTCCAAAGCCTGCTGTGAACTGTGTGTTTAAGTAATGCACACTAAATTGATGCTCAGAACTGTGTGTCTTCTCAGACTGATCAAAGATCAGAAAGAGACTTGTTTCAAGAAATGAAGTGCTTTGAAGTGCCCATGCAAGCTCAATGCGTAGCTTATGATATAAACATTCTTTTAAGGGCTATAAGCATATAGGAATGGTGTATAACTATGGAATACTGTTGTTGACTTCATATTTATTACTGTAGTATTGACGTCTCACTCCACAATTACGTGACTCAATCTTAATAAGAAATGACCTTGCATTGAAGAAAACCATATTTACAGGAAGTAATAATTTGGTTTCTTCTTTCTATGTCAACAGAACGGAGACTGCAGTAGAAGAGAGAAATTACTTAGGGAAGTAGAAAATTCCTACTAACACAGTATTTGAGATTGACCTGTCCATCTTTTAACAGATCTTATGATCTCTCTTCAGGTATTTTTATTTACTGATCAAAGTTGATGACTCTGAGATTTGAAAGGTGGAGCAACCTATGGGCTCAATGGCACAAGGCTGTGAATTACTGGCTGGAATAACATAAGCTGTGTTTGCTGGAAGATGGACTCCAAAGGTGACATTGGTTGGAAAATCTGCCTCTCTCATGCTACCTGGAATACTACCTGGAATATGGTGAGATTTAAGGAGCACACTTAGGTCATCTAATCCTGGATTTTTAGTGCTATTTCTCAGAAATATGTCTCATAAAGCTCTGTGTGTGCTCTTATTCTTTGACACGTTCTTGTTCTTTTTATAGCTTTCATGTTCACAACTAGTGCACGAGTCGTTGCTCAGCTACAAAACACTTGAAAGAGTTGTGTTGTGCAGGTATTCTGCTATAAGACTTTTGCCACAATCTGTTTATTTGATGCTGCATCTTCATTTAAATTTCCGTTAGAGCTGTGTATTACAATAGCTACATTTAAACAGTCAAACAGAGAGCAGTTATGAGGGTGAGGAAGATTAAAATGTGCTCTTCCAAATCTTAACGTTGTGAGGTGGATGAGCAAAGCCCATAGTCTTTCTTTTGCCTTGGTCTCTTACTAATTTCCACTCTTATTTGCTGCAGAACAAATGCTTTCCTGCCAGTCCAAGTGCACTGCTTAAAATAATAACAATAATCAATTTTTATGTACAAATGCAATTTCAATAGGCTTAAGAAGAGTAACTACTTTTCAATGTATGCTTCCTTCTCACAAGAATTTTCTTAAGCAGCTGTGTCTGCAGGCCACATCAGAGATAGTGCTGCATCCTGAGGTGTAAATTGGTGTGATTTGTGACTTAGGGACAGACAGGAATTATGCGTGATTTAGAAAACAAAACAAACAAAGGACTGTGAGGCAGCTGGTAAATTGCTGAAGTAGACAGATAGTACTAACATCAGCAAAGATGCACCCTGCTGAGTTTAGACAATCTCTTGACATCTATTTCAGCCCTTTTATACAGATCTCATGGCCAATGTCTCAGCATTTTGGTTCATGCTCAAGGTCCTGTTCTCCTTCCTTTCCCTGCTCTGTATTCTTGAGTAAGCAGGAGGAAAAAAAAAACAACAAAAAAACAGAAGAGAGGTTAGACTCAAGTTCTTTCTCCTAAAAGCACAGGGTACTGCTGCACTCTGTGAGCAGAGAGAAGTGGGAGTGTGTCTGCATTCCTGGCTGCTTTACTGACCTGAGGAAAAGTGGCAGTGCTTGCTTGCTTCCAGCACCAATGGGAAAGCTGCTGGTCACTCCCAGCACAAGTTATGGAAGGCAGAGTGGATGGAGGTAAACGCTTTCATTGGTGCTGTGTCCCAAAATGCCAACGTTTCTCACTCTAATAAAAAAAACCTGTGTGTGAAATAGTTGACCAGTGCAGAATTTGTAAGGCACCAAAACTTTTCAGTACACAGTAATAAATAGCACACTATGGGGAACTAAAGCTGCTACTTTCCGTCAGATATGGAGCTGTTTTTTAAGCCATTTTTAATGTTTAAGATACAGATATTCTTTCTTTCTTATTTAGAATAGAAACAAATCAATGTTTTTGTTTTTTATGCATCAATTCATATTTCAGAAAATCATCCATTATTATATTTGGATCCTTCAATCCACAAGCAACATGAAAATGTGCAAGAAAGATTTGTTCTTGCTGAAGTCTGCTTCAGTTAAATGAATTATCCTTCTGAGTGTTAAACAAACAGATACATAGGATCTGTTAATATCATTAAGGCTGGAAAAGACTTCTAAGATCACCTAGCACAACCATCAACCCATCCCTACCCAGTAGCCATGTCCCTCAGTGCCACATCTACACAGTTCTTAAATACCTCCAGGGATGGTGATTCTACCACCTCCCTGGGCAGCCCATTCCTGTGTGTTATAGAAGAATTTTTTCCTAATATCCAACCTAATATTAAGTATGTTTTTAGGCCTGAGGCCTTACGTGGATGAACCTCCAGTCCTCAATTTGTTCTCTGACTAGAAAGCATCTTGAGAGTACCCAGCTGAAACAGGAAGAATAATCACCGTTGTAAGTCCCAACATTTGGAAAAGCAAATAAGAGCTATTGGCTCATATTTATAGGAAGATTTAAACAATTATTATTTTTAACACTGAATATGAATATATAAAACACTTTTCTCTGTCCTTCAAGAACAACTGTTGTGCAAAAAGAACCGTTGTGTCAGCTGGGAGCTGCAACCCGTGGTTGTTGCCCTGGGAGAGCACCAGGTGCCTGAGAGATGCTGCATTAGGACGTGGAGAATTTGAGCTGTGGAAGGAGAGGACTTGCTGCAGAATTGCTGCAGTTTGTGTTTCAGCTCTTCGTTTATGTGCACATTTACAAAGGAAGCAAAGATGAAGTTGTGTAAAGCAGCAGGAGTTTCTTTACCACTTCACAATTTAAAGGTCCACAGGAATCTGCTGAGCCTTCGAGGTCACAGGTGTACAGAATAATGCAAGAGGAAATAATGAAAAGCAGGTGGTTCTCTGCTAACTAATAGTAAATTACCTTGAATTGTTTTTAAGGAGGAATTAATTTACTGGCATTTACAGTGAAAACATGAAAAGTTGTATTGCCTTTTATGAAATAGAAACCTCTGACCAGTTCCAATAATGGATGTTACACACAAAATACAGAATGAAGGTAAATACAGTTCATAGTGCTTCTGAAGTCTGCAGGTTAGCCCTGTAGGACAAAGTATTTGTATGCTTCATATATGTGGAAACCAACAATTAGTAAGTAGCTAGGTACTAGGGAAAGAGGGTATTTTATCTGGATATTCTTTTTGGTTTTGTTTTTCAGAAGCTGATGACTCACTATTCCACAAACTGCCATGAAAAGGGTCATGGAAAACTTGATGCAGATGGATAGATTTCTATACAGGGCTCATTTCTGTCTTATGGTCACTTACCTAGGTTTCTGTGGGGTTTATAGGAAAAATCTTTGTTTCCAGTGGGGTATTCTGTTGTTCTTAATGAGCAGTTATATATCCCAGAGTTGGTTGATTTAATGATTATATGGAAATGTTACCACAATTTCATTCATGTTATCCGATTGAATTTGGAGTAGATTATTATGTATGAATTAAGAAGATACCAATAAGTAGTGCAGCTCATATCCTGAGAATTGAGTGAACATCTGAAATCTTCCTTCAGTGTTTGTGTTGACATAATGCATTCTGTAGAGACAATAACAGATTTTAAAGGAGTTAAAGCAAGTAAACCAACTCTTTTTGACGTAAATCTATGTCCAGGCGATGGCAATGAAAACAAAGAAAAAACTCTTTGTTAATTCTATTTATCGTTAAAATGGATATTTTTTGTATTGAAGTGGAGTTAGATGTGTCACTTGTGCGGGCGGTTGCAGCTGGCTCATGCTTCCAGCCCCAATTTTTTCTCCTGTCTGTCTAAGGCAGAAGCTGCCCCCTGCTGGTACACAGGGGATTCAAACAACAGCCGAAGTTGGAATAATTTTTGTCTCCCATTTGTACCGCTAGAAACCACAGGGAAATTTTCTTCTCTGCTTTGTAGCATGGGGCTTAGTTCTCTCCCTAAAGTCATCTCTGAATTGCATTTAACCAATGCTTTGTCATAGAGATCTAGAACATCGACATAGCTCTGTCTGTGTCTTTGCAGTACTGACTCCAGCTGTGTTTTCCAGCTTCAGGTTAGGGGCAGAATTCAAGGAAACTTTCTGACAGGGATCTGTGTGCCCGACCTGGGGCCTCCCCTGAGCACTGCCTGCAGCTGTGGGAACCTCTTCTGCAAGGAATCCTGTCCCAGCCTGCTGGAGTGCTGGGACTTGTCCTGGCAGGGGAATTTCCCTTATGTATACGTATATACATGTTTTTCTTCCTCTTTTGTCTCATATTACTAATGTGAAAACAAATGCAAGTTGTCCAACCCAGCAGGGAAGGCTGTCCACCTTGTTCAGAAGTAACATTTTGTGGAGATGGTTACTTCCCTTCTGCTGAATATCCACCACCGACCACAAGAACAGTAATTGAAATCCATTACAAAAATAGTGATTTGTTAATTAGAACCAGAAACTGCGGCAGCTCTTTGCCTCAAATGCACTTTGCCAATTCACTTTGTACAGATGTTGCATACAGAATTGTTAGCAGTCCCGTTTTCCCCAAGATATCAGGGGTAAACATTGTACTGAAGAGAGAAGAAAAGGCATTCATGTTCATTATCTGAGTTCAACTGTATTTTGATTTAAAAGAAAATAATGAGTGTGCTCATTAAAGAATTAATAAAATAGTGTAAGAACATGGTCAGTATTTTGCATACTGGAACAGTTCCCTTTCTTGATTGTGATGCTCTTTCATACAGCTGAGTAAAACTAAATAAAATTATTTCTGTGTATCTTAAAACCAAGTTTTCTGGTTTACACAGAATGAGACTCTAACATTGCCTACAGCCGATGTGAGCAGTAAAAGAAACAGGAAACAAAAAAGTCCTTTGGAGCGCAGTTCAAGGGGGTCTGACATGCTACAAGAGAGCCACATGACATCTGCACATTTTTCTGTACATTCGCACTGGAAAGAGGATAGAATTACCAGGAAATGTTGCCCTGTGATTTCTGCATTGAAGTGGCTGCATCTGTGCCACCTGTTGATGACATGATTGGAGCATTAGTTCTCCCTCTGCCTTTGCACTATTGATAACTCTGCTTAACATCGCCACAGGGGAGGCTTTGTTGGAGGCTGCAGTCACTTCGCCTGAGCAATGGTGTACATTGGCTCCGCCATTCAGCCCTTTTTTCCGACATTAGTGCATTTGAATGGGCCACCAGTGAAGCCATTCAGTGAGAACATGCACCGGGGCTCCTGGGTGGCCCGGGCCGCGCTGAGAACCCTCGTTAATGGACTGCGAGCCGCAGCCTATTGAGCTCCATGAACTCGGTGACCAAAGAAAAGTGAGACAAAGATGTCCCTCGGCGGAACATGTAGGTCAGCGCCGGACAAAGGCGGACATCGACCAGTCAAACCTATTTGATTACTGAGCTGAAAAGGGGACACCTACTGCCATGGGAGCGAGCCTCCCGCCGGCCGCCCTGCCCTCACCTGCGTGCCAGCCCGCCTCTCCGAAGACGATTTGCGCTGCAGTTTGCCCGACTGCAAAACGTTTGTCTCCGTTTGTTTGTTTGTTTGTTTTGTTTTGCTTCTAACTTACACCTACTGGAATGAACGGCTCTTGTTTGTGATCATTAATACTATCCTGTTAAGCCAGACAGCAGGTAGTGAGATCTTCTGCTCTCACAATTAAGGAAGATGGCAGGAGGACGTGGCTCTGTACAGGCTCTTTACTGGGCTGAAGCTAAGATGGTCTCACGTGGGTCAGTAACTTGAAAGCCTTTGGTTGGCTTTGAATAGGGATAGTATGCAAGACTATGCCTGCCTGGTATCTCTGTGTGCTCTCCCTGGGGTCCTTTGGGCAAGGGATTATGTTGTTTTTCCATGCAGATTAACAGCAGCACTGTGAGAAGCATTCTGAGCCCCACGTACACGTTATAAACTCAGGTATCAAATTTTCTCATTCAGTTTTCTGATGGGGATATGCCT